TTTTGTATTGGTCTTTTAACATAAGTTCTGCTTTGAGAGCCGTCTTAAAACTCTTTTGATGCTTTGATTCTTCAATTGATTATTCAAAAAAATATAATAAAAAAATAATAATATTACAATGTTTTTCCCGAATATTTGAATTAAATAATCGCATTTATTAACAAAAAGATATACAATATATCAACCATTATTGTATAGTTTTGTTTTAAACTATAAATCCCGTTTATTGAGGTAATATAACTGTAAATATTTTGTCAAATGTAATATGAACTTTTTGGACAACAAATTAAATTGATTTTTTTGAAAACTATTTTTTGAGTGAAAAAAAGCCATTATTAGAGTAAAAACAAAGAAAACACCAAATAACAATATTTTTTGTTAAAAAATGGACTTTTTTGCCAACAGCCACAAAATTTACTATATAAATGTCTAACCCTGTGTGTAGAAAATATTAATACACATATTATAAAAGGTAAAAATATAAGAAATCAATAATAATGTTTGTATATTTAATATTATTGATTTAAAATATAAATTAAGATAAAAAACACTTTTCTTATCCAAAAATACAAATCAATTGAACAATTATCATTCGTTTTTGTGTGTTATTATATTTAGAATTGTTTTTTTATTAATATATTATGAAATTTGTTTAAAAATTAAATAAAAAGACAAAGCAAATTAAGTGACCATTTCGACAAAAAATAATAACAATAATAATATTTGTAAATCAAACACTTTCTATTTATTTTAGTCATTATAATAAAATGTATGATAACAATCATTTTGTTTTAAAACATTTGTAAACAACTTTTATTATTTTAATTCAAAAATAATATCTTATTGGTGTTTTTATATGAAATTTATTGTTTATATTTATATTGGCTACCACTAACCTATTTTTACTTAAGACATCTTTTTAAGATTAGTTCCTTTTTTTTAAAGAAAAAAAATGCAATTATAAGATAAATTTTTTTAACAAGTTTTATTTTTTGTGTATTTTTATTTCCATTAACTTTTTACATAAAAGACTTAATTGCCCTTAATTATTGTGAAAAAAAATTAATAAACAAATTTATTTTTTGATAACATATATAAATTATAATAATAGTATTAAATAATAAAGTAAATATTGGTATGGTTTCAATTAAATCAATGTCGAACAGGTTTACCTTGGGTTAGTGTAAACCGAGTAATACGGAGCATTATAAAGAAGGCTCAGGAAGACACACGCAAACAATCTGTTTGTGCACTCGTTTTATTTACGTTTTATCTTCCCCAGTCGCGGATCACCCGCTTGCGGAAAAATGACATCTGCGTCTACCCAGTACGGATAAAAAATTGGTTTCCACGGGCGTACAAAACAGTAGCTGAAAATGGTATAACACATAATTTTGATTTGAATTTAGGTCAAATCAGTCGGTTTCAACACAAAATCATAAAGATATTATTATTTATATAATGATTATTATATTAATTTAAAAACAAAAAAAATGTAAAAAAGATAAATAGATCAAGATGATGACAAAAATTTGTCGAGCGACGAGGGACTGCTTATCGAGAAGATAACCATCGATATTAATCCTCATTTTTTTCATATGACAACAACATGAAATAAGAACTAAAATTCAAAAATGTTGTTTAACCACTGTCGGAACCTTTCAAATTGTCTTGAATTGTCGATAAACACGAAAAATATGGATAGAATGACAGTCCTGTACTAAAAAGAGAAAAATGATGGTTTGTGTTTTATCGGAATAAAAATATTGACGACGGGAAAAGTGCTAACAATTTGGGTTAATTCCAAAATTTGCAATCAATTAATCTTTTCGTTATTTTTTGTTCAAATCTTGAGGATTATGTCTCTGTTGTTGTAATATTTTTGAATAAGATATTGTGTGGCAAAAAATCCCCAGAAAAAATGAAACGGGTTTACAATGATTTTTTTAAAGAAAAAGCAAAATTAACTTTTTTCTATGCTCTTTGAAATAAATAAAAGGGCAAACAGCGAACGTGTTAAACAAACTTTACTTTGGCTCGGCTGGGCATTAACAATAAAGGCAGCTTCAAATGATTAATTAAGAGTTTCATATTTTATAGGTTTTTCTATTTTATTTAAAAAATAATGTGTTTATTAATAGTTGGTCCCTGGTTTTTGAAAATAAACCAACATATCACCCAAAAACCCGATTATTTGGGGATTTTACTTTAACAAGGAAACTTTATACCAAAAATAAAACAGCTTAATTTAGTCTGGTCGCTGGTTTTTCCTTTATCTGTAATAATGATTTTTATTAACAATAATATCTATTGTTAAGTATTGGCAAACCATGTTTAACAAAGTTTCCAATAATGATTATTACCAAATTATCATTTTTTATATTACTGATAAAATATCTATAAAATGGGGATTATTAATCTAAACACTCAACTTTATTTTTTGGACATTCTAGTTCTGGTTTATTTTATGTTTACCAAAACATAAAATGGGTTTTCAATAGTATCAAAATCATAAAAATTCAATAAAATATATAATTTAATAAACAGATCAAACCGACTTTAACACGCCGACGTACCTAATCCCCAACAAACCAATACTGTTAAAAAGAGTAGTGTTTTTGTTTTTTTGAAAAAAAATATATTATACATTGTATTTCAATTATTGTAAAATGAAAATGGAATAACGAGTTCAAATTTTGAACTAATAAACAAATAAAATGTGAAAAAAATGAAAAAAATATAAAATTTATGACAAAACGTAAAAATGGCAAAATAATAATATTGGTAAAATGCAATAACATTTTTTCAAAACAAACAAATATGTTTTTTATACATTAAACAAAAAACTATTGGTTTTGAGTTGAAATGAAATACAAAATGCAAAAGTAACATGAACACATCAGTGATAATTAAAAAAACACATAAAATATATGTACACACAATAGTCTTTATAAAAAATATAAACTTTTCAAAAAACCCATTTTATTAACTGTGTATTTTTTTCAGACAGTACGATGTAGCAAGATTTTTGATTATTTTTCTGTTTATAATACATTTTTATCATCTTTTGGTATTTACCATATCGTGACTAATCTTTTAAAGAGTTTTTATCAAAAGAAATTAAAATATAACAAGCAATCATTAAAAACAGTTTTTAGTGTCAAATATATTATTGTTTTAAAAACAATTTCCCTCCATTACATATAATCCACATGTTTTTTTATATTGTTGTCTGACTTCTTGTCTGATATATGGACTGTTAAACCAATTGTTTGTAATTTACTTTTGATATTTTGATGTATATAGTTACTTATTTTAATAATCTATTGAAAAGAGTGTTTAAAATGAATAAAGTAAACCATAACTATGTTTATAATTTTTCAAACAACAAAAAATCAAACTTCTTTGTTTATCAATGCTATTTTATTGATTTATTTGGTGTATATTTTTAATTTTTGTTGTTTTTTACATTATGAGTAATTTATCTTTTTATTGTCAATTAAATTTTTTAAATTATTATTATTATTCTTTATATTTGGGTTGCTGAATAATCAATTGCAGAAACATCACTGTCTATAAAAGAGATGCATAATGGATTCATTTTATTCTTATATTATTTAACAACTATTTCGACTCATCATTGTCACTATAACACAAAAGCATGTTACTCAATGTTAATAATTACCGCTATTATCAATGCGTCATTCAGTGAAAATAATTAATTATGTTTTTTTCTTATTACCACTATTATTATTTGTTTGTTTTATCAAACACAAAATGGCAATTTTCACATTGGTTATGTGTACTTTTATCATTGTCTTTAGATTTTATGAATAATTTTCTTGGAGTTGGCAAAAAAGTCTGTCTAGATAAGATTAACTATATTTTATTATAAATAACCATTTTTATTGGTCATTGTTTGTATTTTTATATTATTAAAATTTATATAACTTTCGAGCAGGACACAAATTCAATTTAGATATTGAAACACCTTTTTGAAATTAAATACAGAAATTGAATATTTAAAAAATATAAGTTATTACCATTATCAATTTCAGTTGATTTTACACATTGACACTTTCACATAGAGATTGATTCAATTCATGGGTGGATTGTATGTGTGACATTTTTTAAACATTTGCTGCGTTTTGTGGACTTCTTTAATATATTTAAAAGTCCAAATTTGTTGTTATAAATTGTTTCAAAATGCTACATTTAAGTTTTTTATTGTTGAATTGTGTTGTACTTATTAAATATTAAATCAAATGATTAATTTGATAACTTTCAAATTTGCTTTCTTTTAAACTTACTAAATCATCATTTTCAATTACAAAATCAAACATCAAGTAATCGCAATTGACTGTTTATGGGTAATACAACCACAACAACGAAACTATATTACGTATCCGAAACGTCAATTTTATTAACATAAGTATCAAAAATTCAACCATTGTTTGAGTTTACAAATATTTTTAATTATTTTTTTTATGTTTTTAGAAATGATACAAAATGTTTTTTTATTTGTAACAATAAAAATTATATTTTACTATAATTTGCTAAAGCTGACTTTTCCCACCAACTCTTTATTATTTTGGTTGTAATTTTTGTTCTGTTTTGCTTTCAACTTTTAATTTAAAAAATAAATGCACAAAACGATTTTTTGGTTTAAAAAATAAAAATAATTCCATTATGATAATTTTATATTATTTGTTTTTATCTATTTTTTCGGGAAAATCACCTAATAATATATCAAAATTATTTAAACAGTTTTGGGACAAAATTTTAAAAAACTGTTAAAAAGAGTAGTATTGGGTTGTTGGCGAGTTAATTGAAAAACAACATTATATATTTTATATTTAAATGATTTTAAAGTTTGATTTAGATTTTTAAAAATATTGACAAGATGAGTAAATTAGAACGAGTGTATATGATGAAAGTTTCTTTATACATTAACACAATGGATTCTCTCAAAACATTTGAACAAGTTAATAAAAAGTGTTTTGAGTGTATGCAGAGTCTATACATCAACCCTTTTGTCAATTTAGAAATTGAAACTTTTGCTCTATTTAAAGAGCCACTTGAGGCTTTATATTCTTCGATCTTCGAATTTATCATAAAAGCGTTTCCAAAAATTGAAACGACAACATTACAT